TCATTAGTGAGTAGAGAATCCATCTCCTCCTGCATCGCATGCTCCCACTGCTGAGATTCACTCACTTGCACTGCCTCTTCATAACACTCCGGCTCTCCGCTATCTGTTAAGAGTAGATAATCAAGTGACGAGAGGTATTTGGGATTTGGTTTGGGTACCCTAGATGACCTCCTAGGCTCCACGCCCTGGGTAGTAGCTTCTGCACCTGTAGTCTCCTCCGTTCTACGGTCAGAACTGACATCGTCGCCCCCATCTGGAAGTTCCTCCAAATCCATGTACTCGGATCCACCTGTATCCGTAGTGCTGCTCCCACTGCTTTGGCTATCCTTGGCATTGTCCCTGTCCTTGTACATCACCTCCTCATTGAATATCACATCCCGGCTCCTGATGATCTTCCTGTTCTTCTCATCCCAAAGGCGATACCCGAACTCATCAATGCCGTATCCAATGAATGTGCACTTCTGTGACTTAGCTTCTAGCTTGTCCCTGACATGGTCACTGATATGAACATAAGCCACGCAACCAAATACCCGCAAGTGTGAGAGATTTATCTTCTTTCCACTCCAAACCTCCTCTGGAATCCCAAAATCTAATGGAACTGATGGCCCGTGATTAATAAGGTATGCTGCCGTATGCACCGCATCCGCCCAAAATGTCTTAGGCAGACCTGCATGTAATCGCATGCTCCGCGCACGCTCTGTCAAGGTCCTGTTCATCCTCTCTGCAATGCCGTTCTGCTGCGGCGTCCCTGGAGTAGTCCTCTCTAAGCGAATCCCATTCGTAGCACAGAACCTCTTGAACTCCTCCAGCTCGTATTCTCCACCATTATCTGATCTCAAGCACTTCACCTTCAGATCTGTCTCGTTCTCGACCATGGCCTTCCACTTCTTGAAGATCTCGAACACCTCTGACTTGTGCTTCATGAAGTAAACCCACACCTTCCTCGAGTGATCGTCGATAAAGGTGACGTAGTATCTCGAACCGCCAAAAGAAGACTGATAATCATATTTTATTACAATTTTATACCCTCATTATCTATTTTACATGAATAAATATACCATTAATAATTATTGTTAGATTAGTTTGCACATAATTGAATGAAAATATAAATAAATATTATTAAATGTAAAAACCCCTCAAAAATCTCTCTTCTCTATTTTGTAGTATTT